AAGCACTGTCTTCCCCATCTACACCATGCTGCTAAGCCTCTCACATGTTTGTGCTGGATTTTTTTTCCTGCCTGCCTACCTGTCTCTTCATACTGCATTCCTTCTCATCTTTGATGATTTACCATAGGATCATATCTTGCTGAAGTTTTTCCAGTCTTCCTAGTATGGGTTAAGAGTCCTTCATGAATGTTTCTACAATAAAACTTCTCACTTTCTTTAAAATTATCTGTTTACAATTCATCATCCCACTCCAGATTGTGAACATATCAATGAGTTACCCGCATGCTCCTTATCACAGTACCTTGCACATAGAGTATTCAGTAAATAGGAATGCTTTACTATAAATTTAAACCCAAACAAGGGAACACAATGTAAAGTTAATATGTCATAGTCTTGTTTCTAAAATTATTGACATTGTTACTTAAATGGAAGTTGAATGGAAATAAGATGAGCTTAGGAATCAGAGGCACAAACTCTCATCCTGAGTTCCCTACTCATAAACCATGTGGGCCTGGGTTTACTCATGTTCATCCTCAATGCCTCCCTCTTTAGGATGATAATAACGCCTACTCTTTAGGGTAGTTTTAAGAACTGAGGATAATATAGCAAAAAGAACCTGGTACACTCAATATTCTGCTATCATTATTTCTTTTTTAGAACTTTTTAAAATGGAAGTATAGTTGATTCACAATGTTGTGTCAGTCTCTTGTGTATAACAAAGCGATTAAGGCATTTACATATATATATATAGTTCTTATTATTTTTATTGTGACCTTGAAAATAATTACAAAGCAGTTTATTTGAAAAGTGAGTCAATATTTGTAAAGCACTTAAAACAGTCCTCACAAGTATGCGCGTGTGTGTGGATACATGTGGACGTGTGCATGTGCACCTAGGTTTAAGTAGGTGCCTAAAAGACATATGAACTTATTACATAAGAGAAATAAATTTCACTGACATTTTATTAATTATACATTCTGAACAGCTTCGACTATTTTTAGCTGATTTTTTTTTATTTTTTAAATAAGCCCAAATAGAAAGAATTATGCAGCTGCAGCAGAGACTATAAAAGCATCATTAGCCACTTTAAACTGTACATTATTGTTGAGTGGAGTAATGCATAAGTGAATGAATGAAAATGTGGCCTATTTAGGCATCTGGTAAACATACTTAAGCTGTAATTATAGTTATAGACAGGAAGAGGGAGGGTCCCATCTGATAGCAAAGATGAGCTTCCCAGCCTATAAGTGACAGTCTGTAAATTCACCTTACTCTGAAAACAAGAACTATTTAGAAGTTCCAAGTAAGTCTAATGTATCCCTTGCTTTACTTGACTTAAGTTGGGACTTCTATTTTTATATTATTTATAAATTTTTTTACCAAAACAGAATGGGTTAGGAGAGAATAGAATGTTTAGGATCTGTTTCATAAGCAGGGGCACTTGGCAGTGTGTGTGTGTGTGTGTGTGTGTGTGTGTGTGTGTGTGTGTGTACATAAGTGAGACAGATAGAGACAGAAAGAAGAGTTTTGAACAAGAAGTGTAGATGTCCTAACTTATCTATTAAAAGATTTAAATTAACTGGAAAATTAGCCTAACAGAAGATGTTAAAAAATACTTCAAGGACCCCTTTGTAAGGAATCATAAATAATTCTACTATTCTATTAATATTCTCTTAATCTCCAAAGCAGTTTTCTGGCTGTGTAACTCAATTCACAAATAAATACAAAAAGCTTTCCACTGCAGTGTGAATGTCCTTCGATGATCAGTACTTCACAGGGGATCCTTGTCTAAGGTGTCTTTTTTGGTGCAGTAAAGGCTGCTCAATCTGGTCTTTAAGTTCTTTTCCTCTCTTCTTTATGGCCTAGACCTAACGTTACTGAGTACATACTGCCTTCTCTCCTTCCTTCTCCCAAGAGACAGTGAGCTCTACGAGGCAACACCTGTGGGTTAATTATCTCTCTATCCCCAGTCATAGTCTTGTTTCTAAAATTATTGACATTGTTACTTAAATGGAAGTTGAATGGAAATAAGATGAGCTTAGGAATCAGAGGCACAAACTCTCATCCTGAGTTCCCTACTCATAAACCATGTGGGCCTGGGTTTACTCATGTTCATCCTCAATGCCTCCCTCTTTAGGATGATAATAACGCCTACTCTTTAGGGTAGTTTTAAGAACTGAGGATAATATAGCAAAAAGAACCTGGTACACTCAATATTCTGTTATCATTATTTCTTTTTTAGAACTTTTTAAAATGGAAGTATAGTTGATTCACAATGTTGTGTCAGTCTCTTGTGTATAACAAAGCGATTAAGGCATTTACATATATATATATAGTTCTTATTATTTTTATTGTGACCTTGAAAATAATTACAAAGCAGTTTATTTGAAAAGTGAGTCAATGTTTGTAAAGCACTTAAAACAGTCCTCACAAGTATGCGCGTGTGTGTGGATACATGTGGACGTGTGCATGTGCACCTAGGTTTAAGTAGGTGCCTAAAAGACATATGAACTTATTACATAAGAGAAATAAATTTCACTGACATTTTATTAATTATACATTCTGAACAGCTTCAACTATTTTTAGCTGATTTTTTTTATTTTTTAAATAAGCCCAAATAGAAAGAATTATGCAGCTGCAGCAGACTATAAAAGCGTTATTAGCCCCTTTAAACTGTACATTATTGTTGAGTGGAGTAATGCATAAGTGAATGAATGAAAATGTGGCCTATTTAGGCATCTGGTAAACATACTTAAGCTGTAATTATAGTTATAGACAGGAAGAGGGAGGGTCCCATCTGATAGCAAAGATGAGCTTCCCAGCCTATAAGTGACAGTCTGTAAATTCACCTTACTCTGAAAACAAGAACTATTTAGAAGTTCCAAGTAAGTCTAATGTATCCCTTGCTTTACTTGACTTAAGTTGGGACTTCTATTTTTATATTATTTATAAATTTTTTTACCAAAACAGAATGGGTTAGGAGAGAATAGAATGTTTAGGATCTGTTTCATAAGCAGGGGCACTTGGCAGTGTGTGTGTGTGTGTGTGTGTGTGTGTGTGTGTGTGTGTGTGTACATAAGTGAGACAGATAGAGACAGAAAGAAGAGTTTTGAACAAGAAGTGTAGATGTCCTAACTTATCTATTAAAAGATTTAAATTAACTGGAAAATTAGCCTAACAGAAGATGTTAAAAAATACTTCAAGGACCCCTTTGTAAGGAATCATAAATAATTCTACTATTCTATTAATATTCTCTTAATCTCCAAAGCAGTTTTCTGGCTGTGTAACTCAATTCACAAATAAATACAAAAAGCTTTCCACTGCAGTGTGAATGTCCTTCGATGATCAGTACTTCACAGGGGATCCTTGTCTAAGGTGTCTTTTTTGGTGCAGTAAAGGCTGCTCAATCTGGTCTTTAAGTTCTTTTCCTCTCTTCTTTATGGCCTAGACCTAACGTTACTGAGTACATACTGCCTTCTCTCCTTCCTTCTCCCAAGAGACAGTGAGCTCTACGAGGCAACACCTGTGGGTTAATTATCTCTCTATCCCCAGGACAAAGCCCAATTTCTAGAATTTAATAGATGCTCAACTAACATCTACCAAAGAAGGTGATCTATTTTGCTTCGTTTAGTAAGCCATTTCACTTTCACTCAGATGCTAAACACTTTTAACATCTTAGAAGAAATCAACGTTACGAGGAATGCCTTTATCCCAGGACAAATAATGATTATAATTCTACTGCTTATTGTTTTATTTAATATTAATAGTGAAACAGAAGGAAAAGAAACTTTTCTAAAATGTAACTATATCAAGGGCAAACAAGTCTTCTGAAAGTAAGACACTCTATCACTACCTGCTGAATACCAGGAACATGGATGACATGGCACCAGATTAGGCTCCTGATTTAGGAGGGAAAATGTAATAAACACAATAAATCTTAAGAGTCTTGGACCCTTACAAGCTCTACAGACGATTCCTCTCAACTAGGTAGGCTTATGATTCTGGTCAAGTTAGTTAAGTAAGTCTGTTTCCTCATTTGGCAAATGAAGATAACAGTGCCTCTTTAATTACCCCCACAGGCTTAAACTGATGAATAAAAGAGAGATTATTTCTGTGAAAGCATGTAGGCTCTGAAAACTGGCACACAAATATAAGGGCTCATCTTGATGCACCACGTAGCTGACAAATGTTGGAAATCACAAATTTTAGTTGAAACTTCCAGTACCTCCCAGGTGCACTGAATCGCCAACTCTGATGTAAAAGCTGTTTGAACCACCCTCCACAATGCAGGCAGCGTAGTACTGAGTCACACGTCAGTTTAAAGGTTGTATAAACCTCCTACATTGGAGGAACATCTCCTCTCTTGGCATCACCAGTTTCCAATATAACACACAGACACAGTTGTACTCAGTGAAGGTTCATTAATGACACGGATGACTTTTTGAACTAGGAGGCAACACATTATAATAGCTAAAAGTGCAGGCTCTGAATTTAGCTTCCTGTGTTCAAATCCTTGATCAGTCTGCTCAATCCTTATAATCTTAGGTTTCTGCTTCGGTAAAATGGATATAATTAAAAAAAAAAAACAAAAAAACAGAGGCTCTGCCACGAGTTGTTGCCAGGACTGCATTTAGGTCAAATTCCAGCATCATGGCTGATGCACAGTAAACATTAAGTAAATTCTGATTTACTGACATTCATCTTTTCGTTAGATGCTATGAATTGTGTTCCTTTTACCATAGATTATTAAATATGATCAATAGGCAATTTAAAAGGGTAGACCACATGTGGTTCAACCAAGAAGTAACAAAATGACCCCGCAGTGTGATCCGCATACCATCACGACCATCTACAGCGTCACCGGTCAGCCACCACGGTGAAAGCGGGGGCCCTGTTCAGCTGCGAGGCCACCCTCCAGAGCCCAGCTCTCCCTCAGCCCGGCCAGTGAAGCCCACAATCACATCTTTCTGTTTGCTCCTGTCCTTGTTCATGCTCACCAGGTACAAAGACAGGAGACTGGCCCAGCACAAGTCGGAAATAGAGTGTTTCACCCCCAAAGGGAGTATGGGGAATGGTGGGAGAGCAACCATGAGCAGGTAAGCAAAACGTGAGTGGCCTGAGGTGGTGTGAACTACGTGTCTGCAAGCTGCAGGAACAGGTGGCTCCCTGGCCCAGGTCCTCACCCGACCCTGCCTCCCAGGCAGTGTGTCCAACCTGGGCCTCCGCTGGGTTTCTGTGTGTGTTTGATTTGCAAAACCCACACCGTCCTCACAAGAAGTGATGGGAGCCTCCTGTCCCAGACGCTGCTGTTCCCCAGGGCTGTGCGCTTTGCATGTCTGAAGCCTTAGCTCACAGTGAGTGGCCCTGTGGATCCTAACGTACTGGTCAAACGCTTCTGTGGAGTTTGCAAAGTGGAAGAGATGGGAGGAAACAGAACCATCCAGTCGCTTGACAAAAATTAAATGGCAAAAGCCTAGGACTGGTTTTGAGGGAAGGACTGCAATGGAGGGAAAGATTCAGCCCTGATCTCACAAGCCTGGGAATTAATCTGACTTGCACTGAGTCAAAAGTCAACTCCTAGCCAAGGGCAAACGCCAGGCCAAACAAGTGAACCGCAGAGGCCAGCGGCTCTTTGTGAACGGACACCAGGAAAGCTGGTCCTCCTCTAGCTACTGTAGCTTTGCAGCTCCCTTCCTCCTCTGTGTTTGGTGGTGAACGCCCCATGTCGCTGCGCTCTGCATGTTCCTTCCTACCAGGCCTTCCCAATTGGGCTGTGCCCAGGAAACGGGGGTACTTGGAACTATGAGCATCGACTGAGCTGTGTTGCATGAAATAATCGTGCTTTATTGCATGGGACTGGGTTTCGAAGAAGAGGGCTCTGGAGATAAAGACTGTCACGGCCGGCATTAAATGGTTCCAGGAGGCTGGAGGGGCCCTGAGTGGGGAAACTGATCATCATGAACTAGCTCCCCACCCCTAATTTACTGCAGCATTTCCCAGTCCATCTGTCTGTTGTGTGGAAGGGAAGCTCTCGCAAATCAGCCTGGGTTAAAGGAAAGGGGACGTGCAGAGAGTGCAGTGTGCACACACGTGTGTGCATGTGCTGAGCGCAGAGCCTGCCATCCTGCCGCAGAGCAACGAGAGAATCCAGTCCCACTGAACTTTCACTCCCCAACACTGTTCGATTCCGCGGCAGTGGGTCTTTTGGTTTCCAAAATAATGCCTAAGTTTCTACAAGGACACTGGCACAACTTTTGGAAGGCCATTCACATTGCAGCCTGTGAAAATGGTGTCCTGACCTGTGCGGTGTATAGCCTGAGTCATTGTTCCTGGCAGCCTGGTCAAGAGCTTGACTGACTTCAATCCATTGCTCCCAGACACAAGACAGTGAGAGCATGTGTATGTGTAGGCACGTACGTGTGCACACGGGTTTATCTGATGGCCTTATGCCCCTGTATACGGCCGTCTTTAGATCCCAGTGTATCTGGAAGATAACCACCAATGGATCATTTTGTGGGGGTCACTCAACAGACTGGTACTGGGGCTCCTGGTGTCCTTCCATTCAGATGTGAGAAAGTGGCATAATTCCTGTACTTGAAAACCATTCAAACAGGGTCAGGGTTGGCAGGACAAGGGGAAAACACTGTCCCAGATGAGCACAGGGGCTCTGTCCAAAGTGCCTTCTGATTTGAAGCACTGTCTCGGACTGGACCTCCCAAACTAGCAAACCTGACTGCCTGTCAAATACACTGAGGCAAAAATGGATAACACAGATCTAAAGTATATAGCACAGGGCACTCTGCTCCATGTCATGTGGCAGCCTGGACGGGAGGGGAGTTTGGGGGCAAGTGGATACATGTATATGTATGGCTGAGTCCCTTTGCTGTTTCCCTGAAACTATCACCACGTTGTTAATCGGCTTTACCACAATACAAAATAAAAAGTTTAAAATATATATATATATACACTGAAGCAAAACCTAGGTATCTGTAGTGTAACAAGTTTCCAAGGTCATTCTGATTTAGTCAGTCCATAAACTTGTGTTTTGAAATAATCCATTTGTGTAGGAGATGACGTGGAGCTATTCATGGCAAACATCAGGTTTCAATTCTGTCATGCAGTATTCTCAAGAGTGTTTGGTCAGCGCCTCGAACTCTCAAGTCTGATCAGACTAGTGATTAATTTGTTCAAGACTGTCTTGATTGAAAACAGGTGAGGAGGAGACAGAGCGTGAGTAAGGGGCTGCCAGCTTCCTTGGTTCAGGTCCAGATCTACAAAGGCATCCACACAGGGTGTCTACACCAGAATGGTCTGTTTCCCTATAATAGGAAGACATCATTTAGCATTTGTTTGTATAAAGCCAAGGTAATGGCGAGGCTTATTACACTGATATGTCCTGGCAGGCAGAGGGGAACAGTGTACAGTGCGCCAAAGACAGTTCCGTTGGAGCAAACACCTTAGCCCCACAGATTAAGAGCAGTTAAGAAGAACCAAATGACCTTCCCTTCCTACTTTTTCTTCTCATTTCTTTAGCATCAAGTAAAAACTGACAGAGAGAAACAGTCTATGGAAGGAGTCCTTATAGTTGTTCATATCAATATGCACACCAATATATTTATCCAGAAGAAATAAGCTTAACATGAATATTAAGAGAAAGATATTAAGATATCAGAGGGGAGACCACTGCAGTGTAAACTATTTCTAAATAAGGGGTTAGAGTAGTTAATCTCAAGTTGCTTGTTCAGAAATAGAATGGAAGGGCTGGAAACAGAATACCTACACAAGACTTTGGTAGATACTTTTTGTATCCACTGATAAGGCCTCTTTCTTATCCACTCCCACTCCATCCCCCAGTTGCTTCCCAGAGTCACAGGCACGCCTCATGTTTACTCTGCAAACATCAGGGGTGATTCTGTGGCCACCATCAAGTCCAGCCAGTCCCAGGGAGGGGCTAAGGGAACCTCAAACCACCACAGAAAACCAGGAATATCAACCTGCATCTCACAAACTACAGAGTGGACTGTATCCTATGAATTTACGCCTGGGGAGGTCCTTGTGAGCCACACTGCTTAGCAGGAGAGGAGCAGTTGTACAAGGCATGCAGTCACAGCCCAGCAGAACAGCGTGACCTTGTCAGCAGCGCTGGCAGGGCCTAGAGACAACACCTCCCCTCTCCCTCCTCCTCCTACCCCCTCCCACACTTGGAAAGGAATCAGATCAGTCTAGCTTCCCAAAACACTATGTCGCTGTTTTCCCTTTGGGTGAACTTTCTTTTTCCGTCTGACTGTCGCATAATTTGTCATTTGTTCATACTTTCACAGTGGACAGTCTGTGTTTCAGAGTAGTCTGATTGCAGGAGGAGTGAAAGAGAGTCCTAAACAAGGAGATGCTCTAAGAAATGGGAATTCTCCAAACCCTGTAACGTGGGAGTTCATACAGTGATGATCCAACCCCAGGAATGGCTAGAACCTTAACAATGAATGTCATGACTGCCCGTCTCAGCAGGGGGATTCCACCTCTGTGCTTCTTAAGTCTGCATTCCGATGTGCTCATGTTAGACTCCGTGATGGAGAGGCACAGCCCCTCTGAGTCTCCCAGTCTCTGAGAAAGGGCCCTCCTTCAACAAATGAAATAGATCTAAAGCCCATTCAGTGCTTGAGGGAAGGAGTGTGGTAAGGGGTGATTTTTACTGTTGGTATGTCATGATATCAATGATGTGAAAGAAAGATCAATCCCCAATCAGTTGATTAACTGATTTTCACCTAGTAGATGCAGCATCTAATATTAGTGGGTATAAATATTTAATAATTCCTTGGAGAATCCAGTAACAATGACATCATAAGAGTCATTATTAAATGAATAAGGAGCTCAGATTTGAAAGTAACCCCAAAACATGATATCTGTGCTAGGATTCTTTTGCCTTTCATTCATTCAATTATTTCTTCCTCCATATAATGCTCATTATTAAGCTTCTACTATGAGTCAAGCACTGACAAGACTCAAGGTGAATGGATGACCAAGTCAAGACTAATGCCTTTGAAAATTCACTGTCCACTGAGGAACAGAGTCAGAAAAACAGATCACTGCAAAGCAATGTGGACCTCTTCCCCCCAAAGAATAATTATTTATCAGATTAACTCCTCGTTTAATATAAATAGTAACCTATGCCAGTGCAAACAGAATTAAGAGTAATAGAAACTAAATAATAATAAATGTTCAGAAATGGCTAGACACATAGTTATACAAAATTCAGAGTCCATAAAATGCTCCAATCCAAAGACATAGAGTGGCAGATTGTTTAAAAAAGAAAAGCCTACAACATGTAGCCTACAAGAGACCCACTTTGGGGCAAAGGACACAAACAGACTGAAAGTGAGGGGTTAGAAAAAATATTTCATGCAAACGGAAATGACAAAAAAGCAGGGGTCCCAATACTCATATCAGACAAAGCAGACGTTACAACAAAGGCCATAAGGAAAAACTTCAGGGCCCATAGAAGAGAGCGAGTCCGGCTTTGCAGCATAGCAGAGGCCAGCTGGTCGCTGAGCAACAGGTGAGGATGGCTGCAATAGTCTTGTCTTCATTCCTCCCCAACATCAACTGCAAATTAACGTTCTAACACATTCAGAGATGTTCTAAAACAAATAAAACTAATAACAATTGCTGCCATTATTGTAATTACTATGCATCAGACACTAGTAGTCCCTTCACAAATGTTATACATCAAGTTCTCACAAAAACATTATAAGCAAGATATTTTTCCTTTCCATGGGAAATCATAACAGTATTTGTCTTTCTCTAGCTTATTTCACTTAATATAATGCCCTCGCATTTCATCCATGTTGTCATAAATGGCAGGATTTCCTTCTATTTCTAAATAGAATAAGCTGAATAGTATTTTTTAACCACATTTTCTTTATCCATTTGTCCACCAATGGACTCAGTGCTAGTGCTAAGTCGCTTCAGTCGTGTCTGACTCTGTGACTCCATGGATTGTAGCCCACCAGACTCCTCTGTCCTTGGGGTTCTCCAGGCAAGAATACTGGCATGGTTGCCGGTTCCTCCTCCAGGGAAGCTTCCTGACCCAGGGACTGAA